TTTTGAGACAGTTTTGTTCTCCTTGCCCAGGCTGGAGTGCAGTGGCGCAATCTCGGCTCACCACAACCTCCGCCTCCCGGGTACAAGCGATTCTCCTGCCTCAGCCTCCCAAGTAGCTGTGATTACAAGCTTGTACCACCACACCCAGCTAATTTTATATTTTTAGTAGAGACGGGGTTTCTCCATGTTGGCCAGGCTGGTTTCTAACTCCCGACCTCAGGTGATCTGCCCACCTCAGCGTCCCAAAGTGCTGGGATTACAGGCGTGAGCCACTGTGTCCGGCTGGTCTCCTGTTTTTTAAAAAACTTACTATTTAGCTGGGCGCGGTGGCTCACGCCTGTAATCCCAGCACTTTGGGAGGCCGAGGTGAGCAGATCACCTGAGGTCAAGTGTTCCAGACTAGCCTGGGCAACATGGCGAAATCTCATCTCTACTAAAAAGACAAAAATTAGCCGGAGGTGCTCCCTTGAACCCAGGAGACAGAGGTTGCAGTGAACTGAGATCGTGCTACTGCACTCCAACCCAGGAAGAGGAAGGAGGTTGGACTGAGCCAAGATCATGCCACTCCAGCCTGGGCGACAGAGCAAGACCCTGTCCCCAAAAAACAGAAAGAAAAAAAAAAAGAAATCTGAAGCAATTATGACCAAATGTTAACATCTGTTTCTTCACGTGGTGGGTACAGGCATGCTTTGGAAGCTTCTATGCTTCCTGTATTTTGAGATCACACAAAATTATGTTTATTATCTTATTGTGCTACATGATCTTTGTAGAAAAGTTGGTAAATTCCGGAATGCACAAAGAAAAATATTGTAATAGGCCGGGCGTGTTGGCTCAGGCCTGTAATCCCAGCACTTTGGGAGGCCGAGGCGGGTGGATCACGAGGTCAGGAGGTTGACACCATCCTGGCTAACACGGTGAAACCCCGTCTCTACTAAAAATACAAAAAATTAGCTGGGTGTGGTGGCGGGTGCCTGTAGTCCCAGCTACTTGGGAGACTGAGGCAGGAGAATGATGTGAATCCGGGAGGAGGAGCTTGCAGTGAGCCGAGATGGCTCCACTGTACTGTAGCCTGGGCGACGGAGCGAGACTCTGTCTTTAAAAAAAAAAAAAAGAAAGAAAACGATTATAATAGCCAGAAATGCCCCTGCCCAGAGAGACAGTATCCATTAATTTTTCTCTGCCTATGTTTGTCTTCAGAAAAATGGGATACTATTGGCACTATTTTATAACTTTTTAATTTGTATTAGCACTTTCTATATTTTTTATTTTTTTATTTTTATTTTTATTTTTTTTTTTGAGACAGAGTCTGGCTCTGTCGCCCAGGCTGGAGTGCAGTGGCCGGATCTCAGCTCACTGCAAGCTCCGCCTCCCGGGTTCACGCCATTCTCCTGCCTCAGCCTCCCGAGTAGCTGGGACTACAGGCGCCCGCCACCTCGCCCGGCTAGTTTTTTGTATTTTTAGTAGAGACGGGGTTTCACCGTGTTAGCCAGGATGGTCTCGATCTCCTGACCTCATGATCCGCCAGTCTCGGCCTCCCAAAGTGCTGGGATTACAGGCGTGAGCCACCGCGCCCAGCCTAGCACTTTCTATATTTTTTAAATTGATAAAGCTGGCCAAGCGTGGTGGCTCAGGCCTGTAAACCCAGCCAATGTGGGAGGATCGCTTGAGCCTAGGAGTTCAGGACCGGCTTGGGCAACATGGCGAGACCACGTCACTACAAAAAACATAACAAAATTAGCCAGGCATGGTGGTGCACACCTGTGGTTCCAGCTACTCAGGAAGCTGAGATGGAGGATCACTTGAGCCTGGGAGTGTGAGGCTGCAATGAGCTACGATTGCACCACTGGCCTTCAGCCTGGGCAACACAGCTAGACTGTTGTCTCAGAGAGAGAGAGAGCACATAATGAAAAAAATAAGCCTGATCTTGTATAGAACATGTAATAAAACCTGTGGGTTCTTGGCCATCTCTCTCTGGTCTCCTCCAGGGTTCTGAATAAGCTCTTCTCTCTCTATTCACCCAGGAGAACTCTCTTCTGCTCATTTTCTGTGGGGCTAGATCAGGATGTGACTCAAAATCTCCCTCCACCTCCACCCTTGCCTATTTTCCCAATCTCAGATGTCAACAACCCCACGAGTGAGTTCCTCCTTTTGCCAGTACATCCAGGTCCTGTTCTCCGCTGCCGTCCCTACCCAATCCCTTTCCTTCCTTCCTCCTGCCAATCCTGCTCTCCCTGTTTCTTGCTCCTCTGACCTCCTCCGCATTGCTTGACTGTCTCAGATACACTCTGGCCTCAGGGTCTTGGCACTTTCTCTTCCGCCTGCCTGGAGGGGTCTTCCTTAGTCAGATACTGAGGTCACCCATTGTGTTCAAGTTCCTTTAATTTATCTGAAAAGAGGCTGGGCATGGTGGCTCCCGCCTGTAATCCCAGCACTTCGGGAGTCCAAGCCGGGTGGATCACTTGAGGCCAGGAGTTCGAGACCAGCCTGGCCAACATGGTGAAACCCTATCTCTACAAAAATACAAAAATTAGCCAGGTGTGGTGGCACAAACCTGTGGTCCCAGCTACTCGGAAGGTTGAGGCAGGAGAATTGCTTGACCCTGGGAGGCGGAGGCTTCAGTGAGCCAAGATTGTGCCACTGAACTCTAGACTGGGTGACAGAGTGAGACTCTGTCTCAAAAAAAAAAAAAAAGAAAAAGATAATTTATCTGAAATTATCTGAAATGTACCACCCTGCCCCCATCATTGTCTGACTCTCCTGTTGCTGTCGTTTTCTCTGCAGCACTTACCACTGCTTGAGAAAACTACCCACTCGTTTATCTTGCTTTCAATTTATCTTGCTTTCAGTCTGTCTTCCGTTAATGAAAGCTTTGTTTTTTTCTTTTTCTTTTTTTAAAACAGAGTCACCAGGCTGGAGAGCAGTGATGCGATCACAGCTCACTGCAGACTCACCTTCTGGGCTCAAGTGATCCTCCCACGCCCCTCAGCCTCCTGAGGATTGAGACTACAGGCACACACCACCACACCCAGCTAGTTTTTGTATTTTTTGTAGAGACAGGGATTTGTCACCTTGCCCAGGCTGCTCTTGAACTCCTGAGTTCAAGCAATCCTCCCACCTCAGCCCCCCAAAGTGCTGGGATTACAGGAGTGAGTCAGTGCACCTGGCCTGTTTATTTAAAAAATTAACATTCACTCTCAGTTTATTGGCTAAGTTTAGAAGTAGTATCAGAAAGTCTAAGAGAACTTCTTGTTCTCCTTTTATTTGTATGTTTGCACTGTAGACTTTTAAAAACTGCTAAGGACTTCTCAAGGTGTTTACTTGGTGGAGACATTTAAAAAGATTCAATAGGCCGGGTGCAGTGGCTCAGTCTGTGATCCCAGCACTTTGGGAAGCTGAGGCAGGCAGATCATGAGGTCAGGAGATCGAGACCATCCTGGCTAACATGGTGAAACCCCGTCTCTACTAAAAATATGAAAAATTCCCTAGGTATGGTGGCACGCGCCTGTAGTCCCAGCTACTTGGGAGGCAGAGGCAGGAGAATTGCTTGAACCCAGGAGGCAGAGGTTGC